TACAAACCAATTCTGGTTCATCCGTTTCATTCAACGATCCGCTTTCGCCCTTCTCATTCTCCGTCGCCGCCATGTGCGTATGAAAACAAAGGCACTGCGCATGCGCGTTTTACCCATATTCTATCGCGATATTTCATTTTCTTATCGTTGCCCAACATTATACCGGTATTACCGTGAACGGTATGATATGGCCCAGCCCTAATTCAAAGTATTCATCTAACAGTTTGTACAGTACCTAAGGTCCACTAGGATGCCTTACAGAATGAAAGGAAATGAGGCACTAAACACCTTTACAAAAGGTCACATGATTTTGAGCAAACACGAAAGTGTTCATTTGTGCTATCATGGAGAGAGAGGTGGGTCGAGTATCCAAAAATTGTACTCAAGTAAGAGTAGCATTACTTTAAAATATTATTACTCAAGTAAAAGTGAAAAGTAGTCATCAAGAAAGTTACTCAAGTAAGAGTAAAAAAGTACTTGTGAAAAGACTGAGTAACTGTTTGAATTTATTTATTTATTTTTTAAAATAAATGCTATCAGACAACAAAAATAAATAAATATACAAATTTTAGTATTTTCAAAAGGAATATATGTAAAACATCAACAAAATAAGGCACAACAATTCTAATTTCCAGATTTCAGTTTTTCACAACATAAAGCTTTTTTCACCAATACCTACAGTAAAAATATAAAAATAACCGTGATAGATGAAATCCATGAAGTAGCCAACTTTACTTTTTATAATTATTATAGATGTTTTACGGCTGTAAAAAACCTCAGTATACACTTTATGCACTTTTCTCAGACAGGCATGAACATTTTCACACTTTTCTCTCTTGTTTAAAATCTCAAAGTTCAAACTTCGTAGAGCAGTATTATGGAATGAAACCAAAGGCACCCATGTTGCCTCTGACGGTGCAAAATGTTTCATCGACATTGTTGCGTTTGTTGGGGAGAAAACTTACAAATATACAGTACAGGGTTCAGAGTCACACTGCTAGCACTTGAGATTTATGTCAATTTGACCAGCTGAACGCATTCTGTATTGTACAGGAGACACGGAGCACGAGATTGATTGACAATGGTCTACAGCCAATCAGGACGCAAAACACAATGCGCTGTGCAAAAACCCCCAAAAAACCCTTGAAAAATTGCACACAAAAAATTCGCGACAGCAAGGCCGCAAAAGGTGAATCGTGTTATTGCGAGGGACCACTGTACCTACAGTAAATTATATAAATATATGAACAATGCAAACCATTTCCAGTGACAAGATATGCTGTATACTTTATATTCAGCTTTACTCCAAATGGCACAGCAGCCTCAGAGAAAACATTAGAGCAAGGCAACTTCAACATATGTACATACAAGGCTGTAATTGTTTAGCAGTGAACAGGAGTCCTGCCTGACTAAAAAGTCCTTCACAAGCTCCAGATGCAGGAAGATTATGCAATAGATCCACACCTCCAGTGAATGGACATGAAAGGTACCTCTCCAGCTCCCCTGCTTCTGGCTTTCCTGACCCCATGGATCCATCATCTTCGTCGGTTAGGCCGCTGTTTGTGCTGGCATCATCCAGCTCTGTGTCTAGGTGATGTCTGATGAAGTTGAGACCTGTGGAAAGATGTATGGTTTTCAAAAGAATTAGGTCTGGTCATTATAGTGCTGTATACACTGCCAAGCTGCGGATGTTTGGCAAGAAGATTTGATCACACTGGAGATGTTTTTTACTAACTCTTGTTGAAAAACAAAATTTGTCTTCATATCCCGACACAAACAGTTTGCAATGAATTCCAGATTAAGTTTAAAATAAGAACGCGATGCAAGGCTAAGCAGTGCTAGCCAACATATTCTCCTTCAAAAACATTTTTTTAGCCTTTCTTCTTAGTTATAAACTTCTACACCTCATAACTGTAGTTCACTGAAGGAGGAGTCAGGACAAAAAGTCACATGTTGAGAAAAAAATAAATAAAAACGGCTTAATTACTAATGTAAATGGCCTGTATTTGTATAGCGCTTTACTAGTCCCTAAGGACCCCAAAGCGCTTTACTCATTCAGTCATCCACACATTCACACACTGGTGATGGCAAGCAACATTGTAGCGACAGCTCCCTGGGGCGCACTGAGCAGAGGCGAGGCTGCCGGAATCCACCCCTCTGACCACCACCAGTAGGCAACGGGTGAAGTGTCTTGCCCAAGGACACAACGACCGAGACTGTCGGAGCCGGGGGCTTGAACCAGACAGTTGCCTCTGCCATGTTTTCATGTTTCTACTTTCTGTGTCCGCTAGTTTGAAAGGCTCGGGCCGCACTGCCCGCCACAGTTTATAAACTGGTCATGTGACTGCATGGCTACATCTGATTGGTGAAAGAGTTAAGGGTAACTCCACTGGCAGCATGATCCATTATTATCTAATGTGTGAAATTAATTATTGAAAAAGTAACGAGTCCAAATATAGCGGAGTAAAAATAGCATTTCTTCTTCACAAATGTACTCAAGTAAAAGTAACAAAGTATGGTGCAACTAAATGTATTTTAAGTCATTTTTTCAAAAATAAATCAAATCAAATCACTTTTATTGTCACATCACATGTGCAGGTACATTGGTACAGCACATGTGAGTGAAATTCTTGTGTGCGAGCTTCACAAGCAACAGAGTTGTGCAAAATACAATAATGTAAACAAGCAAAATACAAGAATGGCTACATCTGAAACTAATAAATATATGTACAATATATAATAGTATATGCATTTCTGGATGTGTATACTAAATATTTTTCTACGTGTGTGTGTGTGTGATACACATATTTTACAAATTAAATAGAGTAAACAATAAATAAAATATATAAAAATATACAGAGTTGAGACATGTGCAAAACAGTGGCATTACTGTACAGTATGGAGTGCATAATGTTGAAGTTCCAGTAGTGAAGCTGAGGTGTCTATGACGTGTTCAGCAGTCTGATGGCCTGAGTGGAAGAAGCTGTCTCTCAGTCTGCTGGTACGGGACCGGATGCTGCAGAACCTCCTTCCTGATGGAAGCAGTCTGAACAGTTTATGGCTGGGGTGACTGGAGTCCTTGATGATCCTCCCCGCTTTCCTCAGGCAGCGCTTCCTGTAGATGTCTTGGAGGGAGGGAAGCTCACCTCCAATTATCCGTTCAGAGCACCGCACTACTCGCTGGAGAGCTTTGCAGTTGTAGGCGGTGCTGTTGCCATACCAGGTGGTGATGCATCCAGTGAGGATGCTCTCAATGGCACAGTGATAGAAGGTCCTGAGGATGCGGGGGCTCATGCCGAATCTTTTCAGTCTCCTGAGAAAGAAGAGGCGCTGCTGCGCCTTCTTCACTGTTTTGTTTGTGTGTACTGACCACGTAAGATCCTCAGCCAGATGTACTCCAAGGAACCGGAAGCTGCTCACTCTCTCCACAGCAGCGCCGCTTGATGGTGATGGGGGTGTGTACTTCTCTGCACCTCCGGAAGTCCACTATCAACTCCTTTGTCTTTGCGACGTTGAGGGTGAGATGGTTGTCTTGACACCAGTGGGTCAGGGCGCTGACCTCCTCCCTGTAAGCCGTCTCATCACCGTTGGTGATAAGACCCACCACTGTAGTGTCGTCCGCAAACTTCACAATGATGTTGGAGTTGTTAGTGGCTGCAGTCGTAGGTGTAGAGTGAGTACAGGAGAGGGCTCAGTACACACCCCTGTGGAGCACCAGTGTTCAGTGTGATGGGGGATGAGGTGATGCTGCCCAGTCTGACCACTCTGGCGTCTGTCAGACAGGAAGCTAAGGATCCAGCTGCAGAGGGAGCTGCTCAGTCCTAGATCCTGCAGTTTCCTGTCCAGCTTCGAGGGAACGATGGTATTGAATGCTGAGCTGTAATCTACAAACAGCATTCTCACATACGTGTCTCTCTTCTCCAGGTGTGACAGGGCAGTGTGTAGTGTCAGGGCTATGGCATCATCAGTGGACCTGTTGTGGCGGTATGCGAACTGTAGAGGGTCCAGTGAGTCGGGTAGTGCAGAGCAGATGAAGTCCCTGACCAGCTTCTCGAAGCATTTGCTTACGATGGGGGTCAGGGCTACAGGTCGCCAGTCGTTCAATGAGGAGATGGTGGAGGATTTGGGTACAGGGACGATGGTGGCCATTTTGAAGCAGGCTGGGACTACAGACAGAGAGAGGGAAAGGTTGAAGATGTGCGTGAACACTCCAGCCAGCTGAGCCGCGCATGACCTGAGGACGCGGCCGGGAATCCCGTCCGGACCAGTAGCTTTGCGCGCGTTCACCTTCCTGAAGCACTCCGCACATCCTCCTCAGACACAGTGTGCGCACTGACGTCATCCGCGGTGCGCACACTGTCCGGTCTCATGGTGTTCGCTGTCGTCGAATCTAGCGTAGAATACGTTTAGATCCTCACACAGAGAGGCCGTGGTCTGCGGTGTGCTGGTTTTCCCTCTAAAGTCTGTGATCGTGTTTAGTCCCTGCCACATACTCCGAGGGTTGTCAAACTGTTGCTCCACCCTGTCCCTGTACTCACGTTTGGCTGCTTTGATCGTCTTCCGGAGTTGGTAATGTGCGTGTTTGTAGTCCGATGTGTTCGCGGAGGCAAAGGCGGTGCTCCGTGCCGCCAGTGCCGCGCGAACATCTCCGTTAATCCAGGGTTTTTGATTTGGGAAGGATTTAACTGTTCTGGATGGGACGACATCTTCCACGCATTTCCTGATAAATCCGCAGACTGAGTCTGTGTACTCATCAATGTCCCTAGCAGCCACGTGAAACATTTCCCAGTCCGCGTGATCAAAACAGTCCCGCAGCGCAGACTCCGATTGGTCCGTCCAACAGTGCACCGCCCTCCGGGTTGGAGCTTCCTGTTTCAGCTTCTGCCTGTAGGCGGGCAGGAGCAGGATGGAGCGGTGATCTGATTGGCCGAATGGGGCGCGGGGGAGGGCTTTGTACGCATCCCGGAAAGAGGTGTAGCAGTGGTCGAGTAGCCGTCTCCACGAGTGTTAAAATGGATGTGTTGGTGGAGTTTGGGTGAGACTTTCTTCAGGTTTCCCTTATTAAAGTCTCCGGCTGTGATAAACGCTGCCTCTGGGTGTGCGGTTTCCTCGCTGCTGATCGCGCTGTACAGTTCCCTGAGTGCTCGGTCAGTGTCGGCTTGTGGGGGAATGTAAACAGCCGTAATAATCACTGCTGTAAATTCCCTCGGTAGCCAGAATGGCCGGCACTTAATCATCAGGTACTCCAGGTCCGGTGAGCAGAAGGATTTGACCGGGTGCACGTTCGCATAATCACACCAGCTGTTGTTGATCATGAAACACACACCACCGCCTCTGCTTTTCCCAGTAAGATCCTGTGACCTGTCCGCGCGATGCACGGAGAACCCCGGTAGTTGTATTGCGGAGTCCGGTACCTTGTCCGATAGCCAGGTTTCTGTGAGGCAGATCACGCATTAACATTACATTAACGTACAGCGTTAATGTAACTCATTACTACCGACCTCTGAAGAGGAGTGGTCAGAATCCCTGCTGCACTACACTGCCTAAAGAATTGAAAGGAAGTGATTTACAGCAATAGTACAACAATTTCACTGCCAGTAGTGCAGGAGCAGAAAATAGATGAGTTTTTGTGTCAGCTACTGGCCGAACCACATTCTGCTTGTCCCCAGCCTCCATCAATAGTTCTGCTGGAAGTGGGAGTTGAAGATCTTAGAGAGTGGGGCCTCTGTCAGACATTCCCATTACACCATCATAATATGTTTAGGTTTGCCAGGTCTGTCAGGTGTCATTCCCACCACCTGATTCAACTCACCATCAGGTGGTGATCAGCTGACAGCTCAGCTCAGCTCTTCAATCAAGCGTGCAGAACATATTGCCACAGATCTGATGACATGATTACAAAATTGAGTGGGTGCATGGGTTCTCTCCGGGTACTCTGGCTTCCTCTCACATAGATATGAAGTTAATGGGATTAGGTTAATTGGTGACTCTAAATTGCCTATAGGTAGGAATGTGATTGTGAATGGTTGTCTGCGTCTATGTGTTAGCCCTGCAACAGTATGGCGACCTATCCAGGGTGTACCCTGCCTCTTGCCCTAAGACAGCTGGAATAGCCTCCAGCCCCCCTGTGATGCTGAAAACGATAAGCAGAAGAGAATGGATGAATGCTTTTTTTTAAGTGCTCAGATTTTTTGTGAGATTAAGGGGAGAGGCAGGGAGTTTGTAGTCTTTTTCAAAATGCCAACCATAAAATAGTCTTTGGAGCATAAATAGTTAAATATTTTCCTCTCATTACTTTCAGGGAGAAACTGGCTGAATAACCTGGGGCAAATGTTGGATGACAGATTCTGTATCAACAATGGAGGTAAAATATATGAAACTCAAATATTGTTCTTTGGAGATACTGTGTTTGCAATAATATGTTTTCATTTTTTTTCTCTTTTTATCATCATTTGTAAAAAAGGAAAACAGTGATGAAGATTTAGTTGTTGAGCTATACTGTGAGGAAGTAAATGACCCTCCATCTGCACCATGTTCTACCTGCTGGGATGACTGTCAGCAGATTATTACAGGAGGTAAAAGTCAGCTTTATACTTTTTACTGCTACAGCAGAAAAACACAATATGATGTGAAGTCTGTACATAAGCACATTATTAATATTATCAATATTACTATCATTATGCCCACAGTTACTTGTCATCATGTGAAGACAAAAGTGTTTTACATCAGCAGTGAGTTAGTGTCTCAGCATTTGGACAGTCCTGTTGGTGACAGTGAGAACTACACAGTGATTACATTCAGAGAGGAAGAAACTGAGCAAGAACCGACAGACATGAAGAGCTCAGAGCCAGACTACCTGAAACCAGAAGAAGAAAAGTCCAGCCAGACTCCTGAAGACATGAAGGATGAAATCGAAAGTCAGTCCTTAGTTACCTCAACACACACAGGTAAACGTTAACACCAATTACAAAAATGATGGCATACTGGTTAAGTTGAAAATAAAAACAGAATGTAATAACTTTTAAATCTCACATCCTCAGTGAAACACCTGCAAACCTTATTGAAAAAACTGGGCTTGAAGCAGAACTACACAAAGAAGCTATCACTCAGGAGAATACTTGGGATTAATAAGAAGACCACCACTGATGAATCTGCGAAGTGCAAATCAGACCTTCCATGGTATTTTCTAAAGAAACTAATGATGTTTAATGTCACTGCTAGGAATGTGAAATGTACATCAGAGTGTGATTCAACCAGTGATGATACATCAGGAACTAAAAAGTTAAATCTTAAAAATATGGTCAGCAGTCCAAACACAGATAACATGGTGAACCCACTCGACATAATCACTGCTCTCTTTCTGTGTTCTGATGGTTTTCTACAGCAGGAAATGGCACTAAAAATGTCCATGTGTCAGTTCTCTGTCCCTCTGCTGCTTCCCAGTTGTGACACAGGACAGTGCACACTCATGCTGTGGGCCATGAGAGACATTGTTAAAAAGTACAGACCTCAGTCTCTTTCACAGTCAAAGGGCTTCATTGAAGAAAGAATCGTTCTCTCTGAACTTCCAATGGTCTCTTTTGTCAGACTGGGTGAGTGCTCCTTGTCCAAGTCAGAGATTCTCAATAAGCTTCTGAGCAATTCTCAGCAGTACCACGACACCTTTGTTCACCACAACATGGAGTGTGGTGACAGTTCAAGAAGAATTTCCAACGGACTGACTGAAATTACTTGGTATCTTCCTGGTGGAAACACAAACATTGATATTTTCAGTCAGCCAGTGGCTGTAGCTAACCTTCGTGGGGACATTGCTTCATTTGAAACACAATACTCCTTTTTGTGTCAGACATCTGCAGCAGTTTTTGTTTTCTTTGAGCATTTGGATTCTGAGTCTGAGTCTGTGATCAATCTGCTTAAAAGCCAACACCACAAAGCACAGATCTTCTTGGTCGGTAACTATGAGAGCAAGCGCTTCAATTTAGATGCTTTGGAAAAAGTAGCAACTGAGTTGGATTTAACTGAAAACAACATCATTATTAAGACAAAGCAGAAAAATGATGCAGACTTTGTAAAAGATTTAAGGAAAACTGTCAGAAATGTGGTTGAGAAATCAGAGCTGAAGATGAAAATAGAGAAGATGGTGGATGTTGCTCATGAACTGGGAATCCTGGTTGATGAAGATTCTCCAGAGTGCCAGACTGCAAAGAAAAATGCAAAAACCATCACTGAAGAAATTCAAGACATCCATAAATACAAAGAAGATCAGCTTCCCCGACAAGGACAAATATGGAAAACACTGACCTTGTTAGAGAAGGAAGAGTTTCGACTTCGAAATGTTGGGTCTAAAAATGTAGAAGATTACAAAAGTGATCTTCAGAAACAGAAATATGAACTGCGGCAAAAGCAGAACTCTTATGAGATGTCGACAGCTATGACAAACTTCATCACAGGGATATCAAGCCCAGGAACAGAGAGGTTTTATTTCCTGAAATGGATGAGAATGAACCTCGATAATGTGTCTCGTATAAAACTGTGTGAACTCAGGGAGAAATATAAAGAAAAATGCAAAAACTCTGAGAACAAAGAGGAGATCAAAGAAATTGACAGACAAATTTCCATCAGCTCACTGGGGATTGAACACTTCTTCAGAGAAATGGGTCAGATCTATGAAGCGTCACTGTCCCTTCCAAAAACAGACCCATCACGTCAACAATTGCAGCATCTGCCCAAACTGTGTGCAGAGTTGTTGCTTGATGGATTTCCTCTTGAGCTTGTAGATGGAGATGCATCCAACATCCCTCTCAGATGGGTGAGTGATGTTCTCTCTCAGCTCAGTGACCTGGTGTCTCCAAACAGAAAGATACGAGTAGTCACAGTTCTTTGAGTTCAGAGCACAGGAAAGTCCACTCTCCTTAACACCATGTTTGGAGTGCAGTTTGCAGTCAGCAGTGGTCGATGTACTCGAGGTGCCTTTATGTTGCTCATCAAAATCAATGAAGACATGAAAAATGTCCTAAACTGTGACTTCTTGGTGATCATTGACACTGAGGGCTTAAAGTCACCAGAACTTGCACAACTGGACAACAGCTATGAACACGACAATGAGCTTGCAACACTTGTTGTTGGGCTAAGTGATGTCACCATAGTGAACATTGCAATGGAGAATTTAATTGAAATGAAAGACATCCTGCAAATAGTTGTGCACGCTTTTCTCAGGATGAAGGAGGTGGGCAAAAAGCCTAAATGTCAGTTTGTTCACCAGAATGTGTCGGATGTTTCAGCCCATGATAAGAACTTACGAGACAGGAAACTGCTCCTGGATCAGTTAAATGAGATGACTCAGGCAGCAGCCAAAATGGAAAAGAAAGAGGGGAACAAGAGCTTCACTGATGTGATGGAGTACAGTCCAGACACTGGGAACTGGTACATTCCTGGACTGTGGAATGGAAACCCACCAATGGCACCAGTTAATGCAGGATACAGTGAGGCTGTATATGAGCTCAGGAAAAACATCATCCAACTAGTGAGCGACTGTGAGTCATCTTCTAATGATATCATGGAGTTTAAAGAGTGGGTGAAAAGTCTGTGGAATGCAGTAAAGCATGAAAACTTCATCTTCAGCTTCAGAAACAGCCTCGTAGCTGATGCATACATGAAGCTCTGCACAGAGTTCAATAAATGGGAGTGGGAGTTCAGAAAAGAAATGTACACCTGGGTAAGAAATGCAGAAACAAAAATTTCCAATTTTGGTACCATTGCAGCAAAATCTGAAACATCTGACATGAGAGAATTTCTCAGATCTTTGAAAAGTAAAGCCTCCACAGTGCTGTCTACATGGGAGACAAAGATTCTGAACAATCTGACACAATATTTCGAGCAAACAGAGGGTCATGTGTATCTGGTTGAAGGATACAAAGAGGAATTCTCAAACAGTGCAAAGGTCCTTCGTCGTGAAATAGAAAGTGGTGTAATGACTCAACTTGAAGCAGCAGCAGGAATCAGACAGGGAATGACAGAAATTGATAAAATCAAAAACAATCATACAAAAGAGATTGAAAAAGCAGTGCGTGCATTAATTGATAAATGTCGAAAGAAAAACATCCAAATGACAGACACTGAGTTGGACAAAGAGTTTGAGAAGATGTGGAAGGAAACTTTAGAAAAACTGTCTTTCTCTGAACAAAAAACCTCAAATGTCACAGACAGAGTGTCCTACTATCTGAGAGATAATCTGAAACGTAAGGGGAGCTGTGCAAACGAGTTAAGTCAAAGGAGTTTGCAAGACTGTGGAAAAGAGTCTTTTAAATGGACAACTGACGGATTTTACAACAAAGTTAAACATGGGGCTAAAAAGTTCTTTCTCGGTCAAGATGACATAATGGCTGCACAACATCTGGCTGACAGCATCATAGCTGCTTGCACAGACCTTGTGAATGAACAAGTGAAAAGAAAAAATAATTACCATGACACTTACATCCAGGAGATCCTCAACGTGATTGATGAGAAGCTAAAAAACCATCAAGATGTTAAGATAAACATCGAGTTTGAAGTTTCTCTAAAACAGCACATCTGTGGATTCGCAGCCAGAACGTTTCAGAAAATGCACGAAGATTTCATAGAAGAAAATGATCCGTACAGATGTCTGATTAAAAACAAGGAAAAGTTTCATGATGATTTCAAAGATGTGTTTCATGAACGAGACCAGTGTCAGAAGAAGGCAGAAGAATTCACAAATCGATGTTTGAAGCCTGCTGTTGAAGACTTTGTTAATCGCTCCCTGGGTCCTGATATCATTGATGAAATGAGGAAACTCGAGCAGTTCAGCACAAGAATGTCCTTCCAGTATTCAATTTTACTGGATTTGCTCTCCAAGGAGGATTTTCAAAATTATGTCAGCTATATTTGCTCATATGAGAAATATGTAAAGACATGGATACTTGAACAGATAAAGAAGCGCTTCTCAAATGAGTCGACAGTTTTTGAGTTTGAGGACCGACATCTGCAGTCATGTATTGACAGCATAAATTCTGCCATCAACGAGGCCAAAACCAGAGAGAGTGAGGATTTGAATGAATTTGTTGAAGACATTTGGAAAGAACTTGGTGATAAACTGGTCATTTCCCAGGATGCTCTTGGTGCTTTCATGATACTGAACAATGCGGACAAGGAACAGTTTGCTGACTGTCTCACGGCATCTGTGAATGACATGACAGAAACTCTTAGAAAGAAGTTCAAAAAATCTACCTTTGAAATGAAACTACAACATCTCCATGTGAATCCACAGAATGAACTTTTCAACAAATTGATTGGTTGTGGCAAACAGTGTCCATTCTGCAAAGCTCCCTGTGATGCAGGAGGAAAAGTCCATACTGAGCACTTTGTTTCACTGCATAGACCAGAAGGTCTGGGTAGATACAGGTGGAAGCGGACAGAGCGACTTGTCACTGACATATGCTCATCCTCAGTGATCAGTGACAACAGATTTCGTTGCAGTCATACAAACAATGAATGGCACCCTTATAAGAAATACAAGAACATTTATAAGGACTGGGATATTCAGCCAGATAAGAGTCTCGAAGCATCAGACTACTGGAAATATGTAATGACAAAATACAACAGGAAGTTTGCTGAACAATATGAAGCAGAACGTGCTGACATCCCAGGTTTTTGGTATGCCATCAACAAAGATCAGGCAGAAAAAAGTCTTGATGAGTCATACAAGTAACCATTCTTCTATTGCTCCTCATTTCTTTCTGCTGTACAGAAGATATCGCAGATGTAGTTTTCATGATATTGAAGAAAATGCCTCAATATTTTCCAAGACAAAAGTAACATACTCTCAGTACACAAAAAATTTACCAGTGTGGAACTCTTCCCCTGAGTTCAATTTAACTCGATTAATGAAAAGTAATCTCATATCAAATGTAATATATGTTTTGTGTGTGTTGTTTTTCTTCTCTTTTTTGGTAATTGATATATTCACATTTTTGTCATGGATAAGTCAGTTTTCTTCTTTTTTTCAGTAACAAAGTTAACAACAAAAAAACCCCGCTCAGACTTCATTAATAATTTATGTTTCTTTGAGGAATCTTATGTTAAATCTTTACACTTACACAAATAGCAAACTGTGGATCAAACTGTGTGCTATCTACAAAAAAAAAGTATATTTAATGCAATCCACCAGGACATCACAATGCATATCCTTCATGGTTCAGTCAAAACATTCCTCAGAGCCCACTTCAGTCTCACCATCTTTTCACAGCATTGGTCCCTGTGTACGATAGGTTTATACACAGGGAGAAGGTAGACCAGGTTGTCTTGATGAGCTATATGCCTTTTTTGTGTAAGCATACAGTATATTCAGTGTTTTAATGTCTCTGGTGATGTGTGTTATCATAATGAGACTTTCTATTGTGTTTTATAAATTGCAGTGACATCAGATCAATAAATCTGGGGGAAAAAATGAAATAACATGTATTTTTCTTGACATTTCATATGTTTCATCATCTGTTTTATAAATTAGTTCCTCATTAAATAAAGAAAATTATGTGAAAATTCATCCTCCCTGTTCTCTAACAAATGTGTAAGGAAATGGGGTAAACCGTGTCTTTGAGCTTTTCAAAAAATCTAGTATAGTCTATGTGACTGTCTTTAGAACCAGCTTACATATTTTTGGTCTTAAAAAAAAGAGAAAGATTTTACATTATATTATTATCTGTTTTTATGTAGTGGTTTTACCAATCTGAAAAATGCTACTTTTTAAAAATAATCATATTTCATTAGAATACTTTTAATGTCTTTAGCAATTTTTATCCTCCTAAGTCTCGAGTTTGAGTTAAACAAAGATTGTATAAAGAGCACAACAAGTGCACATTTGGTGGAGTAGTTGCAGCACTAGTTGCTGCAGCAGACCAGAAGCGCCACTACTGCTGCTGCTGCTGTCATGAATTGAGCCAGTCCTTTCTCCCACTTACAAATGAAGTCCATGTGGCGATCCTTTTGGACTAAAATGTTTGTTATGTTTTTGCACTTGACTTGCTCCTAACCATGGACTGATGGGCTGTTTCTCAATACTTAAGTCTGCAAATCCGATACGCAAATTATAGGCCAATTATGTCACAGCGAGGCAACAAAGGGTGCCCATTTAAGGCCCACAAATGCATCCTCCTTTTTCCTGGATTTGAAGGACTGGTCAAGTGTATTCTTTGTTGCCCACCCTATCCCAGGATTCATTGCGAATCTAACATTTGAAGAAATTTTGGGGAAAAAATAGCAGCGGTCCGGAAATAAACTTTCAAATGTACTGGGGTTTTAATCACTTCTAATATCCTGCGAAACAAATGTTAGCATAAATGTTAAATTGAGCTAACCTTCGTCTATGTTACGTGACATCTGTTTTCTATCGAAGCAGTGTGCAGCCAAATGTACCTAAACATTTTAGGAAAAATCGAGCAGACAGCGCTCCAAATATCTGGCCTGTGAACTGTGGTAAGGAAACGGACCTTAAACATGAGTTAAAAGAGCTTTCATCCTATATAGAGCCACTAATAATAAAATGGACAGTAAATGAAGAAGAACTGTTTCTGTGCTGTTTTTATCATCCTTGTATTATACAACCTGCGAAAGTCACGTTTGTTATAATACCCAACATTTCTGCAGGCTTTTATATCTTATTTCCCCTTTAGTTTTCTTCCCTCTCTGATTAAAACACATAAAGTGTGTCCATGTTCTTATAACTTATAACTTATAACACCAGTATAACTGGTGTTTGTCCAGATATGGTATGTAAACACTGGTTTGTTTTTTTTAAAACCCTCTGGTTAAGGTTAATATGGGCATGTGCAATGAATATCAGTGCTATGTGGCCAGAAGTGTGACAATATAATTTATTTTGTGTAATAAACAACTGCAAGGATAGATGATTACAACAAATAGATGACTAATACATAAAAGTAATACATAGATGAATAATGATGATGAGTTATGATGCTAACTCCCTTTCTGATACTGCGAGGAACTTGGGTGTTGTCTTGGACAGTTCCTTCAAGCTGGACAAACATGTGTCCTCTGTAGTTAAACCTGGTTTCTATCAATTACGTCTAATCTCGCGATGGACGCGAATAAAACGCCCCAAACGCCCCTAATTTGACGCGTGTACATTCGCATCTCAACGCGTGTCCAAGAAAAATCCATCATATTTTGACACGCGTGAACCGGAAATGTGGGAGGAATGTGGGAGGGAGTTGTGCCAGACCGGTATCTTTGCAAGATGGCAGCTGTCGAGCTAGCGCTTGAAGAGAGAGTCTCCCTTCTCTATTTACTGTGGAGAGCAGAGCAGCGGCGTAAAAGACGTCCTCGCCGTACCTGGGTCCATCAGGTCCTCCAGAGGCATGAGCAGTTTGGTGAGTTTCACCATTTGCTCCAGGAGCTGCGCCTGGATGACGGCCGATTCCAGCGCTATCACCGTCATTCACTCGGCCAGTTTGAGGACCTGCTTTCCCTCGTCGGTCCCAGCATCGCCCGCCTAGACACCAA